TTTAAAGGGCGTTTAAAGGGTAAAGTCTGCAAATTGTTGTCTAGAAATGTTGGTGATCAATATTATTATTATTACATAACTTTAATCTAAATTGTTAAATCTTATTAATCTTCAGTAAATCAGCTTTAATTTTGTTGTGTTTTTAATGACAAAACTTTCTTTGGGACGTCAGAGACCAGTTCTCTTATAAGATAACAGAAAGTGGAAAAGAAAATGTTTCTTTTATTGTTTTCAAGAACTCTTTTAATAAGATTTATTATATATATTGAAGGTCTTTTAGCTTTAAAAATGTGTTGCTTTCTTTGTTAATTTTCCTTTATTTTATGTTATTTGTTACAAAGATCATCATGTTTGTGTGTGTACTTCAGTACTTGAGCATAAATATGAGGTACTTTAACATTTCAGGGAGGAATATTGTACTTTTTACTGCATTCAAAACTTTTATTACTTTTCAAATCATTTTTTATATTTCAAACTCACAATAAGTTTTAACATACATTGTTATAGATGAAACTACATTCTTATAATAAATACACAATAAATAACACTTTGAATGGAGGCCTTTTGCATAACGAGTACACTTTTTATTATTTATTTTTACCTTATTGAGATTTTTAATTCAGGACTTTATCTTGTAACAGTTCATTGTGAATAAGTAAGTAAAGTGTTATTCCACCTCCGTTTGTGTTGTACCAGCTCATTTTATTTATAGCAGGAGGCCCGACTGCAGCTGTTGTGTCTTTCTGCATTTCAGTGGCAGCTGCTGCGTGTGTGTGTGAATAATGACATTCTGAGGACATACACCTGTCCACACATTGTGGGGACCTAGCTGCCATATGGGGACCAAAGGACAAGCATTATAATTTATAGTCTCCATGAAACAGGAAGCCGAGTGCTGTTTGCTTCCTCATATTCATGTTTCCTGTAAAAGGCAGCTAGAATTTACTGATTAATTTTTAGAGCAGCCAATAGCGCTGAGTGTGTTACCCCCTGAATGTGAAGCTGCTGGCACTATGAGCTAGCGTCAGCGTCTGAGGCAGCCGAGGTGTGGGTTCTGGGTTTAGCTGGGTTTGGTTCGTAGCATCCCGGGGCTGAGTCAGCAGTTTATCTGCACGGCTGACCGAGCTGCCGGTTCTGTCACCCGCTAACGGCAGGCACAGGTAACAGCAGTTAATTAGCAGTTAGCTACTTTATCAAGCAGCTAAAGGAAACTCGGAACCAACGATGAACTTCAAATTATAGTTTCTATGTCTACAACTGAAATAACATAAATT